TAAAGAAGCACATCATACTAAATCTAAATAAGCAAGGTGAAAATTGTTACAGGGAAGGTGTGATAGGATGATATAGGAAATGTGAATAGCCCAGGGGAGAAGGAAAGATACCACAACTGTTTAGCACACATTTGGTCAAAGGATCGGCTTCACTTGTCTCTTTGACAAGTTATAATATCGTTCTACGAATGGCAAAACTCACTGACGATGCCAGCGAAACGTCTGGAGATGTACCACGTCCATAGTCCGACTTTGGAAAGGATTATGCATGCAATGGACTCCGGAAAAGGTGCGTTTCTATAACTCGTCCTACCAATATAACCGAGTTGCGAAAACAAAGTCAAACAACTTCTATACAACGAAAGGAGACTGCAACCACACAAAAGGCCACACCATCTTGGTCTTCATACCTTCGAATAGTTCAAAGGATTGACATCACTTGTCACTTGACAATCTTTAATGTGCTGCTAAGACTGGCAAGACTTACTGAAGTGCCGGCGAAACGTCTGAGAATGTACCAAGTCGACGGTTCGTTTTTGGAAATTATCATATATACTATTTACTCCAGGAAAGATACATTTCTCTAGCTCTTCTTAGCAATATGACCCATTTGCGAAGACAAGATCAAACAGCTTATATACTAATGCTAATAATTCAGAGTAATAACAATAATCAAGACCAAAATTGATCTCCTTAAAAGATTTTTTGAGAATATTTGCAACCTTTAAAATCAAATTACTCTTAATTTTATTACCATTTGTGGAGTTTTGCTGACATATAGAGTACAATATAAGGCTACAGTCTGCAAAGGATTAAGAATTTAGAGATCAGATTTAATTGGACAAATGAACAGTAAATGGTATTAAATAATAATATAGAATTCATAATAAGGAATATCCGGCTACGCATAAGAGAGAAGCCAACTGTAGCTAATAAGATAAAGAAAATCTAACAGAGAATAAATGAGCTAAGGAGTATCAGCTCTAGTACATAGATATAATTAAATATGTAAGTTTTGGCCAGTGAGGTATACGGTGGCTGAGTAACCTGTGGTCTAGCTAAGGCTCTGGCAAATCAATATAAACAAAAATAATAGATGAATCGAGAAAATTTGTAAATGCGCAATTATATTCCTAATTTATTTTAATAGAATAAGTATAATTACTTTTTGTATAATTTTAATTTAGCCTTTTAAACAGATGCAATCCTATTACGCGTCACATCTCATCTTTCGCCTATGATATGGTATCACTTATTATATAAAATCTCAAGATTACAGTGAATCAAAAAAAGGAAACAGCCAAGAGCACTTTCCAGGGCTCATGAATACCCTGCAGCCCAATAGCAACTGAATCGTTTGGCCTAAAAGGTTTTTATTCAGGCGCAGATTACCATATTTTCAATCGCAGTAAGTGCTGATGAGACCAAGGTGAGGTGGAAACTAATCGATTCCAATGAAGTAGATGGAAAAATAAGGTTTACAATTTAGTTGTTCCTGTGTGCGAATGCGATATCTGATCGACAATCTAACCGTGAGTGCTAAAAAAGCTTCTCTAACTTTTATGGTCTAGTGACAAATGAATGTAATAATATATTTGGAATAATACTTAAAATGTAACTAAGCTATTGTAGGGATGTGTTGAGCAGGAAATAAAAATTTGTATTTGGACTAACTCGTACATGGAACAAATCTAAACGGGAATACTGGTGAGGCTAAAGAAAGGTCCGAATAAATAAATTTCTAAGCCGGTCGAATCCATTAAGGTATTCCAAGAAAAATAGATAGAAAATTCCCTGAAAAGTATTATGAAAATAATGATGATCAAATATTTTGATTTCCCCGGTCACCAGAGTTAGATTCTACAGTAATTCTGATAAAATCCTAAAATAAATTAAAGAAAACAGACTTCAATTTCTTAAGAACATTAATAGATAATAATCCTAGAAACTAACTAAATCAATCACTGTGGGCATTCTGAGAACAAATGACTGTGGCATGAGACAGTTGCAATCTAGGAATTCGCTCTACTCAATAATTAATATACTGTTAGTACGAACATTAATAGTTAAGCTGTCTTAGTTTTTTATCCAAAATGTAATACTGAAGAAACGAGTTTAGAGAGGGAAAATATAAAATGCTAGCGCGGTATTTAGGTCAGACCTCTGTGAACTCTCTCCTTAAGCATCTCCTCCAAATTGCCGTCAGAGCGATATTCAGGTCGTTGAGTATTGGCTTTAAAGGAGATAGCCCGGCCTGACGGCAAAGTAGCTGGATCCGAACTGTCTGCATTAGACGGTAGTCCAGCATCCTCTGGTGTGGTCGAAGTATTGGCTAGTGGCGTATGTAAGAGCTGTGGCTTAGGAACCTCTAGAACAGGTCCTTGACACGTCGAAGATTTTCCAGAAGCCGCTGGGGTAGTAACGTTTTCATGCTGAGCCTCAAGATCACCATCACCGTCGCCATCACCGTAGTCTAGATCAGCTGCATCAACCATAAGGCTTACCGATGTTTCTTCAAGCG